TACTGAGGGAACAAGAGGGGAGGGTGGAAAACAAATGAGGGTTATGATGATGGGGAAATGGTCACTGTTTTGAAGGTCACTGAGGGCCTTCCATGACAGGCTATATAAATGGTGGACAAACAGAGGGAAAAATCAATTCAGGAAAAGGCTTGAGTGCATGATACAACATGAGTTCAGAACTCAGAAGACACAATGAAGAGAAGAGGACCGAAAGGTTCCAGAAGATGGCCTCAGGTAGTCATCAAAACATAACCCCAGAGGGAATGCCAACTGTTAAAAATCACCCAATAGGAGCACAGGCTCTGGTAATGAGTCTATGGGGTAACTAAAATTGGGAAGAGAAAGAAGAATGTGCGGGGAAAGAAACGGAATGATAGGGTACCTTTACCTAAAAAGATACAAGTGACAGAGGAATGAACTTTTGACTGAAAAAAAGAGAGGGACAAAGGGATCATCATTTCAGATCAAGACAGCAGTAGAATTAGGAGTTCTAGCTGGAGGAGAGGAGAGGAGAGGAGAGGAGAGGAGAGGAAGGAAATGATCAAATCCACAAGGGCTGTGACGAGGATTCGAACCTGCGTCCGAGAGCATCCCAGATGCTGTCTTAATTGACTGAGCTACGACATCGTCCCTGGTGGATTTGTTCATTTGATGCATCATGCAATTGTAATTTCTGTGTGTAAGGAAATGATCAGAATGAGTGCCAAGCATCAGATCCTGGAGAATAGGCACAAAATTGTGAAAATTAACATCTATCAGAAGTTGAGGAAATTTCACAATGAAATTGTGAATATTCCACTGAAGAACAGAAATATAAAGAACAAAGGTCAAGAAAAATCAAAATCAAGGAGAAAACTGAGGCAAAGGACAGAGGAGACTAGGGAGAATCAGTAGAAGGTTACAGTAAAATTAAGTGAGGAATGGTTTGCAGAGGTAAATCCAGCAAAAATGGTGGAGTTGGAAGGAACAGAGGCAAACTGATGGGGTAAGGTGACAGAGCGAGGTGGTGCCGGAGAAGGACGGTCAAGGGAAGGTGGGCGAATAATCAAAGAAACGGCAGTGAGCACTTCATCTGCAAGTGGTACGAAAGGGTTGATGACAATGACCGTGAGGGGGTACTAGTGATGGCGTCAATCTGGAAGATAGAAAAGCCTTGGGCCTTATGTAATTTCTTATGTAATTAATCATCCTCATGGCAGTCTTTGAGGTCCTTTTCTCCAGTTGCAACATGGTGTAGAACAACAGCGCCAATGCCGGAATTCAACAGGGTATTTTTAGACACCTAAACTGGGGTCTCACTAGTGCAGGCAGCAATTTCTCAAGAATTGGCCACAATTATGTGTGTCCCAGTCCGAGTGGGGTTAAATGTAACCTGGAGATCTAGTCAACTAAGAGCTTATGGATATGCACATCATCAGGCAGCAGGGTACATTCACTAGGGCAAAGATGGGTTTGGCCATGTAGTGGTTATCTTGAGGTTATCTTGAGATGATTTCGGGGCTTTAGTGTCCCCGTGGCCCAGTCCTCGACCAGGCCTCCACCCCAGGAAGCAGCCCATGACAGCTGACTAACACCCAGGTTTTACTTTACTGCTAGGTAACAGGGGCATAGGGTGAAAGAAACTCTGCCCATTGTTTCTCCCCGGCACCTGGGACCACAGGATCACAAGTCCAGCGTGCTGTCCACTCGGCCGACCGGCTCCTGGGAGGGAGGGGGGGGAGAGGCCAAGTGGGGGACAAACAAATCCTGGAACATAAGTGGTAGCGGGAAACAAACGCCTGCAAGTGCAGTGAGGGAGCCGTGAACCCCCATGAAGGAAGGGATAAACAACGCAGTTGTCACAATGGAAGATGAAGCCACACCTGGGGATGAGGTAATCACCACTAAAGCTTTGGGCTCAATCCAGTCATAGAAGCGAAAGAGAATGGAGAAAGTCAGTAGGGGCAGTCAAGAGACGGAGCCTGGTCTGGGCTCGATGTAGCCCATCCTTCCGTCATTATCCAACTCGCAGGGAGGGTATAAAATAGCCTGGTCATCCACCCCCACTAGAGGAGAAATAAGATCAAAAGTTAATAAAGTAACTTTGCTGTCCAGCTCCCCCCACCCACCACGGGGTCACAACTGCTAGGTAGACTCAACTCCCAGACGAAGGAACATATGGGCATTCATGGGACACCATACACAACCAACATACTTGCCTGTGCACCACCACAGCAAGCAGGAGAGTGGAGCAGGAGGTACCTCCCTCCTACCTGCGGGCAGTACACAAGCGCCTCCTCACTATGTCAAGGCACCATCCATTGATAAGAGAAGCCATTTAAGGGCATTTTCTCATGTACAGAAAAGCCCATAGACTTCTGTCTAGATTATACTGAAGTTTTCTTCCACAATCATGCTCAAATTATCCATGTATTTTATTATAAACAAAACAATTTATAAAAAAAGGAGGCATTACTTGTTTACATGCCAGTATTAATATTTATGCTGATACAGTTCATGTAAGCAATGTTGATTCACTCCAATTACTGAATTTACTCACATTTCCCACAGTGGCTATTTTACTTAATTACTATCAAATATACTTTAGATTACAATTCATGTGAAATACAAATATAAGAAAAACCATGATACTGTAAATGTAGTGTAAGATAAGGAAATATAATTAAGACAAATTACATTTAACCTAAATAAATATTCATATCTGGAATGTAATTAAATACACTACTATACCCAGCCAAACTTAAATATACGATAATTAAAAAAGTTGTGCACACGCGGTTTCATGTAATACTGCACATGGATAATGCATTAAGTAACTGGGATATATTGTATGTCATGTGTCATATTGTATTATTACAATCATGTGCATGATTGTAATAATACAATATTGTACTAAGGCATAAGTGTGATGAAGGATTACTATAATCAAGCTTAGTATATAGGAAGATAAATAGTATGACAAGATGCATATCAGTCCAAAAAAAAAAAAATGCAGTAAAATGAATGGATTAGAAATGAGTTAATTATCAAGGTAAACCGCTGTATCAATATGACTACATCATAGCACTTCAATGTTCAAATTGATCTAAGGATATGAAAGTATCCAAAGTGGCAACGAGACCACAAAATGACCCAACGTTAACTACACAAAAGTTGTAGTCACGGAGCTGCGTAAGTGACAACTGTTGTAATGGAATGATGCAGTTTGACAAGTGATGGCAACAAAATATATCAAGGTAAACAAAAATTTTTTTTAGAGTTCATGTAACACTTGGAAATTATGCTGTAAGTTATATATGTACTATGATGCAAACAAATTGTTGAAGTTTTAAAGCAATGCATCATAAAAACTAAATATGAACCATCTGGTGTGCTAAATTTTAATTTGTATCTATGTTGTTTGGTACTTCAAAACCACAAAATTATGAGAAAACTCTCTACATCTACTCCAACAACATACTGAATATGAAATGTATATACGTAATACAAAATAGAACATTTGACTTTTCACGACTGCATGACATTTACGAAGGTTTGAAGACAATTGTCATCTTAAAATTTGATTTGTTACTTTTGCTCCTTTTAGTATTCAGGCAGAGGTACGATCCATTAATTGTAGAAAAGTGCATTTTGATTAATAAGTGATGTGACTGGCACTCCTACACCAAACATCGAAATAGAGAAATTCCCTTACAAATGGTTGAATGACAACCCAACCACCTACATATTTCGGTTAATATCTCGGTAAATTTTGCATCTATGGACAAGATTCTGGTATCAGTTTCTAGATGAATATCTTTTTTTTTTTTTAATACTGCACATAACATTGGTATTTCTGCATATCTAATAGAAATTAGAAGGCAGGGAGGCTAGTGATACTGGTGGTGCATATCATTCATTAACACAAAAATGATGGTGAGCAACAACAAAATTGATGATGGCTAAGAAATGGAACTGTAATAGGAATGTAGGAAATAAAATACATAAATATTTGTAAAAGGTAATAATTAAGAATCTCTTAAAATCTGCACAATTGATAGAACATGCATAATAGTCTTGAATGGAATTCTGAAAAATAGGCAGTCATTACTTGGAGCAACGACAGAACTAGTTTGAATTATTGTAGAGGGATGGTTTGAATTAATGTAAGGAAAGCCTGTGGCTGAGTGGACAGAACACTGGACGCGTGATTCTGTGGTCCCGGGATCGATCCCGGGCGCCGGCGAGAAATAATGGGCAGTTTCTTTCACCCTGATGCCACTGTTACCTAGTAGTAAATAGGTACCTGGGAGTTAGTCAGCCGTCACGGGCTGCTTCCTGGGGGTGGAGGCCCAGTCAAGGACCGGGCCGCGGGAACACTAAAAGCCTTGAAATCATCTCAAGATAACCTCAAGATGAGAAGATGTGGCACTAAGCTATCACCTTGCTCAGGAGATGCAACAGTTATTCATAAGTATAATACCTTAAGTCAGTATGACTCAAAACCACTTACTAATCATGTGTTTACCAGTAGCTATATTACTTGCCAACTTACCTAAGTCAATAGTAAGAAAATATATTATAATGAAATCAAGTACTCTATATCTGTACATACACCAGTGAGCAGACTATTTCCCAGAAGAACCAAGATGGTCAAATTAGACTGGTAGTTTTAATACACATTTTCCATCCACAGAGATGAAAGGCATAACAAATAGCAGCTTTTTGTATTTTACTACAGAATACCTGAAGACGTGTTTATGGGAGAAGAGGAAACGTTCCAATGTCACCGACCTTAAAGAATTGGTTTTGGGAAATGATGTTATTTAGCATAATCAAAAGGTACTGCATGGCATTTAATTTTTATAAAAAAAAAAAAAAATTCCATTCGCCCCCATAGCATTGGGCTAAATCATATTCATACACAAAACATATTTTGCTTTCAAATCATGACAAAGCAATCACTTTTTTTGTTTGTTTTTTGAGATAATATAGCACAGGTAAATGAGCAATATTACAAAGATGGTTGGAAAGAGTGTGTTTAATAGGTCAGATCAGGGATATGAAAAGCATGTACAGGTTAAGCAAAACTCCTGTATGGGACTAGTTTTGCATACAAAGTGCATCACTGAAAAATCCTTAATTACTACTTGTTTACAGCTTTCATACATGCATCTAGAGAAAAATTATCATGTTGCTTCGATCCTCTTACCCTTAGAATTTAATGTCATTTAAAATTGTTCAATGTCCAGTTACACATCAGAGCTTAGCCTTTTTTTCTTATGTTGATTATACTTATAATCATCCAGTGATACCAATTATTCATTACATATAGTAGTTATGTATTCATCAGTTAAATGATTATCTACTATTAGTAATGGTAATGTCTTCTAAAAGACATAATAACACAGGATAAAAACCCATACACTTGTATATTTGTGAAATCGACATAAGGAATTTACATCAAGTCTTTCGGTTTCTCCTGAGTGCTTTATCAAGGTCTGAGTGTACGATTAGGACAAGACTTACATCTCAACATCTAATGAGGCTTCTATCCTGGGTCCAATCCTCTTATCCTTATTGACCGCCGGACCATTTCCCCTCTATTCCCGACTGGTGATGTAACTGCGGTGATGTCTTCTACGGAAATATGGTTGTATGTCCTTTCTGTTATCCTGCTATTCTGGGAACTGGAGTTGTTATTAATAGGCGTTTCATCTGGATGCTATCCCTCGTAACCCTCTCCATACCTGATGGAATGTGGCTCACGGGGCTGCTTTCATTCATGCATTTTAAATGTTAGTTAGATCTCAATGAATGGATGAATGAAAGCAGTCCTTCGGGCATGGAGAGGGTTACGAGGGATAGCATCCAGATGAACAAAATTAATAACTCCAGTTCCCAGAATAGCAAGATAACAGAAAGGACACACGACCATATTTTCATAGGAGACATCACCAGTCAGGAATAGAGGTGAAATGGTCCGGCGGTCAAGCAGGATAAGAGGATTGGACCTAGGATAGCAGCCTCCTGAGACATTAAGATGTAAGTCTTGTCCTAATCACACACTCAGACCTTGATAAAGCAGGAATGCAAAAGATTGTGTAAATTCCTGACATAACATAAAGTTCACAAATAAACAAGAGTGGGTTTTTATCTTATTATCAAATATAATAACAAGAGCTACTTGGATAACTTTTCCTTCAGGTCAAATTGTGCACAAAGAATAGTATTGTGCTGTATAACAAAATATATCCATATGTTTTGTAATGGACGCCACTGCACAATTTGGAAACCATTTAGTCACAGTTTGCTTACGTAGTGTATGTGCAACCCTCTGCAAGTGCTCTATCACATTTTCTAATAAAATCATAACAGTCGAACATTAGTTTGCCACAATGCAGTAAATTTGAGAAATTACTTTTTATATAGTTTTCCAATGCCCATACACACACACACACACACACACTGCTTGAATATTTTACACACAGGACTTTTTTCATATTCATTTATTTTAGTAAACAAGATCATAACCAACAAAGACAAACAAGCAGAATTCAGTAGACAACAGTTAGTCATCTCATGAAACAAGTCATTAACCAAAAACTGTATTATATGACTTTTCTTAATGCCATTTATGAACAAACATATATACAAGTAGTTTAAACTTAATTGTAATAGCATAACTAACAGCTGTATAAATTCTTCAGGCTGACTATACCAGCACAACACAAGATAAATCCCACTATATATATACGCTCAAGCAGCAACAAAATGGTCAAGAAAATCATTATACCACAGGTCCTTATGTTTACACACCACACGCTTAATCTGATATTTGACAATTAATGTTGTGTATATACTGCGCTCCAATCGTACGCACTAGGATAACTTTATAAAAAGTAGCAGCTCCTTTTACACATACTCAAACTTGATGCATATTTATCACAGTATTGGGTGTACACTACAAAAAACACTTGCAGCTATTATGGAATTGAATTGAATGGTACCATAGTACAAGGACATGACAGACTTGTTCATCAACTGTTATCCTCCCACATCAATAGGTCATCTCCCAATCAGTCATCAACTATTAATTAAGCTTAGTCTTGGAAAATAAAGCTCTTTAAAGGATCTTAGCTTGAGTTGCATATCATTAGCAGATTAATACTGCAGTTTTAATTTATATATGGATCGGTAACAGGCCCTTTGTCTAAGAATATGCAGTGTCACAGGAAGTTATAAGTAATGACCAAACACTGAAACAAAAACCTTTAAGCATCAAGGATGCAACAGGATGAGTGATGACATGAAATATGATTCAAGCTATTTAAATGTTCTGCATGTCGATGTATTTGCATCCTTGACCCTCTTAATTTCACAATACTGTATGCACAACTAAGCAGCTTTCCCTAAATTGGTCAAATAAATTGTTTGGATAATTCTTAGTCTGAACAAATTAGGCATTTACATTTCACCCCCGTAATATTTGTTTAGTAATTTTTCTGTTAACAACTATACAACGTGAAGTAAAATCATGCCATTAATTAGGCGCTTTGTGGGATTACTTGAAAATATTCAGTATTTTGTGCAGTTTGAAATTTGAGGTTCAGCTCAGCATCTCAAACATTAGCTTCAAAACTATATACAATAGGCACAAACTTTTTTTGGTCTATATTTAATACACACACTGTCTTGGGCATGAAGAACAAACTGGCTGTATCTTACATATAACTCCACCGGGAATACTAATGGCTGGATGATCACCTAACTTGAATGATGGTAATTTAATGTGTCAAAAAAATGATCAAATTTTCAGTCAAGTTGAGCTCACTTGACTAATGCATACAACATTTTGCATGTTGAACCAATACTTGTTTTACAATGACTCCCACAAATCACCTGAGATATACATTATTAGGCTCTTAACCTAATGATTCACAATCCAAACAGTAAATAGTCAGTTTTTTGTTGCACATTCTTTCCATAAAAAAAATTACCCGCTGAAATATTGATTCTTAGGCACACTGAAATAGGTTTTTAACGGAAAACTTATCTAGCTTACAATAGGTTCTTAGGTATAACGAGAACGTTTGTGCTGTGGTGAATCCATAGTCACATCGTGCGTTGGGGAAGAGGAGGGGGCTGGTCGCTTATTTCTTGCAATTTCGTCACAAATAAAAGCCTGCAACTCTGGCAAATGAGCAGAGTTTCGGCGTCGTGAGGAGAGAGTAGGTGACCCAACTGGGGGTGGGCGTACATTTAAACCAGGTTGACCTAAAACACAAGACATATCAATAAAAATGCTGGCATTAAATATATTCTAAACTGCAACTAGAAATGGAAAAGGAGCTTTCAGTTATTATAATGAACCTTACAGAATCAGAGGGTGCTAGACGGCAGGAGACAAAATGGAGACTGGAAAAAGGTTAAAAGTCTAGATAAAGTAGGGCACCTAAAAAAATTGAACATTTTTATACAAAAAGAGAGGTTTCAACATGAACAACAATGCCCAGTGAAGGTTACCTTCCAAAGAAGTCATCCACTGAAGTTCAGTACAACCTTGATTCAACTAACTATATGGGATCAACCATAATTCAATGCAGGGAGGAAGTCATTGCTACTATAGATGCCTCCAGGAGGCCCGTATTTTTGAACGAAATCTGAGAAATCTCAAGATGAAAATGAACCATAGAATTTGTGTTTAAGTGTGTTCAAAGGCTTTCCCAAAGCCCCAGCTTCTTCTTCTAATACTCCGTCCATCTACAAAAATCATTAAAAACATGATTGGAGCCATATTAACACTTTGCCCAGCCCAACGCACGACCTCCAACACACCCCAAGGTAGTTCGAGCGCTTCCCGTGAGCGAGCACCCACACTAAAATGTTTATACTCTTTTCACTTTTCCCACCTAAATTTTCGTGCTACGGCGTTAATTTTAGTTTCAAAATGTTCGCAATAGAATTCTCTACAGAGATATGTGCATATAAGGTTAAAAGCCCCAGCACTCCACCCACATCAAACCTGAAAATCGACCGAGTGTTACCCATGAGTCCACACCCACCCGCACTAAAATAGTTACACTCTTTTTCAGTGTTTATACCTCATTTTTTGTGCTATGTAATTCATTTTGGTATCAAACTGTTTGCAATAGAATGTTCTAAAGGGATATATGCATACAAGGTCAAATGGGCCAGCGTGCCCCCTGCAGCACACCCAAAGCAAGGCAGAGTTTTACCCTTTAGTGCACACCCACCCGTACTCAAATATTTATACTCTTTCCAATCTTCCAACCTCAATGTTCGGGCTACGGAGTTCATTTTGGTATCAAATTGTTCGCAATTAACTCTTAAACTGCGCACTGCATATATATATACGCCACGAGTAACATATCCCACATTGCGTATATATACGCCATAGGGTGCCATGCGCGATTCAAATGGTCCGCGGCTACACGCGGTTCACATAAGCTTCCTCAGGGCTCTTGTAAACAGATGCCAAGTTTAAAAAAAAATCGTGGGCAATATTCTCCGGTGTGAGAGCCACAGTACTGTTGGAGAAACCAAGGCTGGCGCACGCAGCATCGAACAGCATTGCTGTTTAGCTTGTGACCACAGCATCGCCGAAAAATGTCAAAATAAATATATAACTGCTATTATTTAGCGATGATAGTATTACAGATGACCCTTGACTGTGATAAAATTGACAAGGATTGTGATAATAGTAGGATTGTTGTGATAATTAGTGCTGTGGGAGGAGTGATGCTGAGGGAGGGAGGGAGATAGCATCATTTACTGACTGTGTGGCCACCTGTTATTGTCTGCATTCACCATACCAGCTCTGTGGTTCTCTATGGTGAACACAAATGTAGATACTTATATATAATGTGTGTATTGGTGTAATAACAGCAAAAGGATTATGTTGGGAGGAGCCATTTGGGTGACGGAGGTGGCGTCGTCTGCATAATTTGTCTGGCGGTGTGGAGGCCACTATTCTCTTTGGGAACCCTACGAGCCTACGAGTATAGTTACGGTGCATACAACATGTAGATATTTTTATATAATGTGTGTATATAGTGTAATAACACTGCAAACAGTATTGTTGGGGAAAAAATTTAGTATGTGTGACATTGAATGAGTGAAGGAGGCAGCTGCCAGCTGACTGTGTGTAGCGACGACTCTTAGTGCTTGAACTAACTAAATCAGCTTAGCTGTACAGTTGTAGTGAAGAAAACATACAGATACTTATATATAACATCTGTATATAGTGTAATAACACTACAAATGGTATTGTTGGGGAAGAAATTTTAGTGCGTGTGAACTTGAATGAGTGAGGGAGGCAGCCGCCAGCTGATTGTGTGTAGCGACATCTCTTAAGTGCCTGAACTAACTATATCAGCTTAGTTGTACAGTTGTGTTGAACAAAACATCTAGATACTTATATATAAACGTCTGTATATAGTGAATAAAATCAAAAGCAGGATGGTGGGAGGAGAAAGTGGACGAGTGAGGCGTTGTTGAGGGAGTGGCAACGAGTGGCTGGCTGGTGTTTGGCGGTCACTCCTCATTGCTTTTCGACTCTCAATACCAACTTAGTGGTTCGTTATGGTGAACAAAAACATGCAGATACTTATATATAACCTGTGTATAGAGTGTAATAATAGCAAAACTATTTGTTTATTGTTTTATGAACATCATAATTGAATCATTAATATGCACACCATACTTTTGAGTATAGCGATGATTCACCCCTTTTATTATATATCACAATACACACTACTGAATAATATTACTGCAAAAAACTAAGAAAAAATCAGAGACATTGAAATAATTAGGTAATAATATCTTTGTGGCAACTCCCTCCTGTCAGCTCGGATGACTCTGACTGGCTCTGACAACCGCTCTGTCAATGCCCATTTTTTGCCCGACTTCCTCGGCCTATTGCACCCAAAATATGTTACCTACGATTTTTTTATTATTTTTCCCGTGCTCAGGGAACACAAATTAACATTTTTAATAGACAAAATTTTTTATAATTTTTTTTTCTTGCACACAGGGGTGTAAATCTCCTCAGGACCCCTTAGCAGCTTTAGGATTAAATGGCGTATTTTAAACTAGTCCCATAATAATTGAACAGTAAATGGAATTTCAACAAATATTTAAATTTTGTGTGCAGTGTGCATCCTCTTGCACACAAGCACAGTATATTCATATACAGACGCATTATGCGTTATCGGTGAGGCAAAGTGTTAACAGTTACATTCAAACCCTAATATTTCTCCCGCTCTATGGGCTGATTTCACTGAGCAATATTTTAATTTCAACCTGTCATATCAAGAGAGTCTATCTGTAAAGAGATTTAACCATATCTAACATATTTCCCATGCCCTTGCCTCAAAACCACCTTTTCAGAGGAAAACAGACAATGTTGTTGAACGAAAACCTGGAAATCTCAAAATGAAAATGAACCATAGAATTTTGTTTTAAATATGGTCAATGGCTTTCCCAAGGTCCCCCAGCTCTTTCTTCTAATCTTATGTCCATCTATGAACATCATTAAATAGGTAATTGCAGTTCTATTAAGTGTGTTACCATTTAATCCCTCTTGGTTCCTATGCTATAGGCTGATTAAGACTAATTTATGATATGACTGGCAACTTTTCCACCCATCTGTGAACCTGTCCCAACATCCTAAGCAAATCAATAAGGCATTTGTCTCAGCAAACTCTTGTTCATTGAATCAGGTGAGTAAATCCAGCCTGGAAAGAGTGCAGTTCCTAGTAATGTAGTTGGCAGTACCTACTCCTCTAATGGAGCCAAATATGTGCTTATTCAGGGCTCCAGTCGTCCACGGGAGCATAATTAAGACCATCTGTTCTGCAGTCTTACTAATGCATGACCTCTGTTCTGCAGTCTTACTAATGCATGATGTTAATTTAAAACTTTGCCTGGCCCGATGCGCAAACCACAAGGTTGGCCGAGTTTCCCATGAGCACGCACCCGCACTAAAATGTTTATACTCTTCAGTTTTCTCACCTGAATTTTCATGCTACATCGTTCATTTCGGTATCAAATTGTTCACAATAGAATGCTCTAAAGGGATATATGCATATAAGGGCAAATGGAAGAACAGCATTAATACCATAAGAATAAAATACATCAAGTGAAAAAAACGGCTTTTCATTATTATTTACACTCGTTATTAGTTCCCGACATTATTTGTTACACTATTTCATTCGTTTTTGTCTTGCTTTCTTCGCATAAGTGTTTGTACCACAATATCTTATGTATAAAAAATTAATAAACATGTCTGTACTTACCACCCATTGATTTCTGTAGAGCATGAGTTGAGCATTAGGTTGAACCACTACACCCGCTCCAGGAAAATGTTTCCCGAAGTTTCTCAACCCATGTTGTATAGGTGGAGTGGATGGTGGGAAAGCATTACTGTTTATCATCCCAGTATGTCCTCTTGCGATGGTACAAGCTGGAGCATGGTGCAGCACACAGTGCCACACCACAGCACTTGCACTTATACCTGCTGTCCTTCCTTTTACCAGACATGACACTTCAAACCTTTCTCAATGCGAACTAGGGAATGGTTCAAGTTTCTGTTCAGAGGTTCAGGTTTATCCACAATACGAGGTCTTCTACTAGCAGCACCACAGGGAATAATCTGAACCTCGTCTTCTGAGTCGGATGATGATTCTTCACTTGAAGGTGATGACGGGAAGAGTGGTCACCTCACACACGATGGTCCAGGGGCTGCAACACTGTCGCCAGTACATCTGCTCTCATCGTCATGTTCATCACCTAGATGTATGTTGTTGTCATTTTGGAGATGCCAGTCTCATAGTCAAAGTTCAACAGTGACCAAATTATTACTTCTTGGAATTGGAGCAATGAGTTTCTTTGTATCAGTTGTGCATTACAGAAAAAGGGAAGACGTTTGTGCACATTTTAAAACAAGTCCCATAATGTTCGGAAAATAATAAAAAAAAAAGGATTTTTTTTTTATCTAATATTTTAATTTTGGACGCAGTGTGTCCTCGGCCAGACTGAGTATATTCGTGTACAGACAATATGCATTATGACCAGGCAAAATGTTAATGAAATGGGCCTGTAATTGCCAGATTCTTTCGGCTATGGAATCGGAATGATGTCTGGTTTCTTCCAAGAGGTCAGCAGTTTGCCTTGCTGCCAAGATGCACCGAGTTTGTTGAGTAGACATTGCACTGTATATACCAGTAGAGGAGAGAACACCCAGGGGTGTGCTT